AACGCGCACCCGGATTCCGCAGCCTCCGTCTCCAGCCTCCGTCTCCAAGGCGGTTCCCTTCGAAGTTGCATTATAATCCTGAGCCCGCCCGCCGTCGCCACCCGCCACCTGCCGCCCGCCCGCCCCGCCCCGCCCGTCCCCCCCGCCTCTTCAACACCATGCGCAGTACTCCACAGCCTCCGTCTCCAATTCCAGAACCGGCACTCCACCGCCTGCGTCTTCAGCATACACGCACCACTACTCACAGCGTGCGTCCCCAACACAAATCCCAATATTTCGCAGCCTCCGCCTCCAACGCACACCCCAGTATTGCCCAACTTCGTTCTACAAGGCGGCTTTCTCAGGAGATGCATGAAAAATCCGACCGCCAATCAGGAACCCTTCCAAAACCCCCCTCAAGGAGAGGTTCCTTGGTTCCCCCAAGAAAATCCCCCGAACTCCTCTCAAACAAGATGTTCCGTGATTTGGGGGGGAGGTTCCTCTCTTCCTTAGGAACCTCCGTATAAACCTACCTCCGGAAAGATGTTGTTTGGTGTCTTTAGGGGAGGTGATCTCCTTGAGCCCCGAGGAATCCTCCCAAAACGTCCCCTCACAGAGGGATGTTGGACAGATTTTTGGAGAGGCTTTCCTGAGTAGTGCCCAGGATCATCCCACAACTCCCTCAAGGAGGATTTTTGTTGGTTGGTTTTGCGCCTCTAATGAATTCCCACAACTTGTTTGCAGGGCTATTGTTGGAGGATTGTTCGTCTGCTTACCCCGAGCGCCCCACTGCTTCTTCGACCGACTCTATGAATTGATTTTCGCATGTTCTTCGCTGAACATGTGTTCCGTGCATGCTTGTGTTTTCCTTCGTCGTGTCTGTATATATCATGGTATATTTTGTTGAGCTCCGCTTAATAATCTAAATTTCTGTGTCCAGCATTGTAGTTCACCCGCGTCTTTCCATTTAATTCCGAAACGTTAATGCCAACCATGCAGTCAAGTAGTATCGGCGTACTTGTGGGATGAACGCCTGAGCAGGAGAAACTATTGTCTGTTCGTTCAGTTGATGAGCGCCACACCATCTAGTTACACAGCTGAAGATCGCATGGCCATCACATTCATTACCGTGAAGATGGACAGCGCGAGATTATGTAGTTGAGAAATCGAGGTGCTCAAATTCAACGCGGGACAATGTAGCTGAACAGCGCCAGACCATCAGTCAAGTAGCGTCATACCTTTTAGTGAACAGCGTTATGCTGCTTAGTTCAACAGCACGATGGCGTTCTTCAGCTAAGCATTACCACGTCAGTTTGTTGAACAGCGCCATACAGTTCCCCACACGTTCCAACAGCATGTGCTCAACGATTGTTAGACCATTTAATTCAGTGGTGCCACTACTTTGAGGATTGCCCCATTCTCTGGTAAGCGCTCTTATATCCTCCCATGGAGCAGGACGGGTGCATGTATTGCAACATGGCCATGCCAGTAAATTATGGTGCTATCCCCCAATCAGAGCTTGCTTCTGTAGGGCTCCTAGCGGATCCATATGGTTAAGTGAGGTGGGTCGTCGATTTCGGGGGAAGGCCCGGGCGCCCTGGTGCCCAGGGGTGCCCGGATGTGCCTGGGTGCCCGGGTGTTCTATCGCCCGATCGCCCTACAGCGCTATAGCTTGATAGCCCTATAGCCATAAAGCCCTATAGCCCAATAGCCCTACGGGTCTATAGCCCTATAGCCCTACACCCCTATAATCCTATAGCACTGTAGCCCTTTTGCCCTATAGGCCTATAGCCCTATAGCTCCATAGTCTTATAGTCCAATAGCCCAATACTCTAATAGTCCAATCGTCAATATAGCCCTACAGCCCTATAGCCCTATAGCATTAGAGCCCCATCAACAAGTCATATTGGGGCTTTTCTCCGGTATCATACCATGAGCCATGTCATTGGCAATGCTTCAACCACCTGGAGCGGTTGAAGTACATGGTCTCGCATTGTTAAGTACATAACATGGCGTGTTTAGGTAGGTCGCCCGGCATTGTCATTCCAATGACCTAACAGTTTGTGGGTAAGCGTGTTGGCTGCTGAATCCAGCGATACGGCATTTTTTAATGAGTTGAATGGGCGCGGCGCGGTTGCACTAAATGGGCTGGTTTTGCTCCACTGCATGACCTGGAAGCGATAGTGATATGGTTTGACAATTATGCGTTCAGTGGTGTTACCAACGTAAACGATTCAGGAATGGCAAGTTACAAGACTATTTAGTTAAAGCTCTGGTATTCATGACTTTCACGATGCCAGACCTTTAACCGAAGCAGTAACACATACGTGGTTCACGATGCGTCCTGACATTGCCATGATTTGATAATTCTGCATTATTGGATAAAGGGCCATGGCTTTATCAAGTGGAAGGTACGGCATTGCTGAACGACTTGACTTGGCATTGCTGCATGTAATGTATTGTTGTTGCTCGATGTCATGCTCTGGCAATAACCAAAGGGCTTATTATGGTCAGGCTCCGGGCGCTGTATATGTGGTTGATCTAGCATCGTTGAACGAAGTAATGCCGAATCGTTGACAACAGCGCTTTGCCACATGCGTGTGCCCGAAGCTGCTTGGGCCCAAAAGACCACACGCTGAATGCCTGATTTCGGTCGGCCGGTTTCTGATACTCCTCGAGTGAGCCATGGCGGGATGGGCCGACTCCGCGGCGTTCCGCTTCGGCTTCCTGACGGTCATCGACCCGGTCTCCACCGAGACGGGCCAGGAGGTGTCTGCGATGCTGCTGCGCACCACGGAGACCCAGTCGCACTTTTGTGTGCCCGCGGGGTCTTTCGACCCAGGATTCGCCGTCGGCCCCGTGGCATTCGCAGTTTGCGACGACCAGGGGGGGGGGGGGGCGATGAGTGGCATCGAGCTGTCTGTCGAGTTCGTGAGCGTCGCGACCGACAGCATCTAAAACTTCGGCGAGATGGTCACGGAGTACACCGTGCCGTTTCAGGACGAGGGTATCAGGCCCGACCCGAAGTCTGCCATCCTGGCCATGCCGGAAGGCTTTGCCGAGGAAGTCGCAGACGTTCATTCGGCTCGCGCTGGCGGCGCGGCAGGCGAGCTGGATCCCATCGCGGCCGCTGCTCTCGATCCTTCGGGCGGCGGCGGCATCGGCGGCTTGCCATCGGAGCGTGCGATGGGCCCAAAATCCCTTCCTGATCACGCCGCTTCTGCTGGCGGCGCAGCCGAGCCAGGGCTCGGGGCAGGGCGCGGCGCCAGCGCGCGCCCTACCGCCGCGACGAACGCCCAGGAGATCGCGGACGTTCGCGCCCAGACGGGCGCAATGCAGAGCCAGGCCGCCGATGTGCAGCAGACGCTTGCGCGCATCGAGTCCGCCCTGGCGGGCGCCGGGCGCGGCGCGCCGCTCCTTGGGCCCCCGCCAGCGCCTGGCCTGCCGCGCAGCGCGGCGGCCGCAGTTCCCAGGCAGGCCAATTGTTTCGGCGGATCAGGCGCGCCCGCGCCAAAGCGGTCGCCGCCGCAGGCCGGCGCCGCGCCCGCAGGCGCCGCGCCTCCAAAGCCGCCAGGGCTGGGGCTAATGAGCGCCGCCCCCGCCGCGGCAGCCAGGGCGCGCCCGCGCTGCGGCGGTCGCTGGAACGCCGCCAGCTCGAGCGGCCCCATTGGCAGGGTCGCGCCCCAAACCGCCTTCCGCTCTGGCATTGGGCAACGACGGCGCCGCCTCCTCGCGCGCCGCCCGGGGGGCCCCGCCTCCCCGCGCGCGCGCTGACTGCCGGAGGGCCTTCATCAGCGCAGTCGACGGTCGCAGGGCCCCCCGTGGCCGAGCTGGCGGCGGCTTTGAGAGCCATCGCCGCGCAGGGCCAGGCGACAGCAGCGTTGCCGGCGAAGTCGTCGGGGACCTCTGGGGACCCGCTCTACTCGCTGCTCGGCGGCGGAGAAGACGGGGCGGCCGCCCAAGGGGCACGGCTGCCAGGCGCCAAGGGGGCGGCTGCCCTGGAGGTGTTCCGCCAGCAGTTGGAGGCCAGGCCGAAGGCTTTCACATCTGCAGCCCTGATCCGCGGCCACGCGAGGCGGGCCCTCGCGGCCACCGACGACGAGACGGACCCCTGGGTGAACTCGATGAGCGAGTTCTCCACGCGGCGCGTGACCTTCGGCCCGGCCCTGGGCGTCGCCTGCCTGGGCTTCGGGGCGGCTGCCGTGGCGGATTGCATGAGGGCAGGGCAGCGGGGGCGCCTCGAGGCACTCCTTGCTCCTGCTGGCGGCCACGGAGCAGGCGACGCTCGACAGGGGCAGGTGGACCCAAGCGTGGTCGCTGACCCACGGCCAGAGCCACCGTGGGCCCAGGTCTCGCAGCAGCCTCCCCAGGACGCATTCTGGCTTTTTGGGGGGCTGGCGGACCCAGCATGGACCGCAGCGGGAATGGCGCACGCCAAAGACGCAGCCGCCCTGGCGGAGCTCCGCCGCAGGGCACCCGGAGCCGCCCAGGCAACGTCCGAGGAAACTCTTCCGAACGGCGGACAGCGCGGGTTGGGGCCAGGCCCCAAGGGCGGGAGCTGGGGCGGGAGGAGCAAGGACGAGTCCGCCCCCGCCTGATGAAGGCAGCCGGTGGGCGCCCGGGGCCAGCCGCCGCCAGCCCCGCGTGGCGATCGCGCCATTTGCATAGTCAGAACGGGGCGGGCCAGCAGGAAACTTTCCCGTGCGACTGGGCCCGCAACGTCGCAACGTCAATTCTGGCGACGGGCACCGCCCTCGGTGCTTGGATCGCCTCCACGAAACGCTCCTGCACTCGCGGCGGCCCCATGGGGAGCACCGCCGCGCTTCCCCCGGCGCCGGGCCACGTCCGCCGCCCCAATCCTGGGCGAGCGAGTCAGCGCCCCGCTCGGCGCGACGGCGCGACAGATGGTGCGATCGCCGCGCGACCAACGCTTTGGTTAACGTCCTGGTGCGCGCGCTGTCACAGTTGGCCGCTGGCTGGCGCCGCGTCGCCCCCGTCGATGCGGGGGGCCCTTGAGCGAGGAGCAGCAAAATATGTGTTCCCACTTCGAGGCGCTGGCCAAGCTGCTTCGCCGCCCGCCCGTGACCTTGGGCGGCCGCGGCGAGGCCAGATTGAGCTCTTTGTATGATTACTCAGAGCCGGTGCGGGCCGCCGCCCAGGGGGCCGCCTGCCCCCCGCCCGCCGCCCTCGTCGGAAGCGACTTCAGGGCCGTCCGCGCGGAGTTCTTCGGCGCCCCCGCCCACTTCCGCATCGATTCGTATTTGAAGCCGTTCGACGCAGCGTGTTTTCTTAAGCCGCGCCTGTTGGAGGTGCCGCGCGAGCCGTGCCCGCGCCCGCAAGGGGAACTCGTAAAGTGCGCGCGCAAGCTGAACGCCGCCGGCCACCTCTACTTGGCAACGCCGAGCGAGGAGCCCAAGAGCCAGCGCATGAATCTCCTGGCAGTTGCCAAAAACGAGCCCGTTGACCGCATCGTTGGGGACAGGCGGCGGCGGAACTGGCTTGAGGCCCACCTCAGCGGCGGGGCACGAGATCTGCCAGCGCGTTACCATTTCGTCGATCATGAACTGGAGGACAGCGAGGTTGCTGAGATATTCGCGGATGACCTTCGCGACTTCCATCCCTCAGCGGTGGCGCTTCCAGCGCGGGCGTGCACGAACGCGTTTGCCATTGAGCTAAGCCCGTTGGAGCTGGCCGGCGCGCGCGCCTTGCGCCGCTTCGGCGCGGCGCCGCCTCCAAAGCTCATCCCGCGCGCGCTCTCGCTAGTGATGGGCGACACCAGCGAGACGGATTGGGCGACGGAGGCTCATTCGCAGGTGCTCTACTCCGCCGGGGCGCTGCTAGCCGAGAGGCGCGTCCTGCAAGACAAGGCGCATCCCAGGGGCCCGATCGCGCAGGCCCTCGCGGTGGACGACCACGTCGTGATCGCGAGCGCGCCGCGCCACCCAGCGGCTTCGCCTGCGGCCCCCTGCTCAGCCTCGACCGCAGCCGCAGCGCGCCGACGGCCTCCCGGCGGCCCCCAAAGCGGCCACGGCGGCCCTAGCAGCAGCCCCGACAGCTCTTCTGGCGGCCCTGACGGTTCGCCACATCCGGAGGCATCTAAGACTTGCAAAAAACACTTCGGGCTCCTGGGCCACCCAGCGGCGTCCACGGCAGCTTCCAAGGTCGCCCCCAAGCGGCCTCAGCGGCACCTGCAGCAGCGGCCTCGCCGGCCGCCCCGGCGGCCCCACTCGCGGCCCCGGCCGCCACCAGAAGATTCCCCCAGTTTCTGGCCAGGGTACCAGGGGTGGAAACTCCCCCCAGTTTCGGGCTCATCTGGGAGGCCTCTGGCGCAGGGCCACGCCAGGCGCTCACCGAGGCCTTCGACGCCGCCAGCGTCGCCTACCAGGACGCTGGCTTGGTGCGTCATCCCGCGAAGGCCGGGCGCGGCGATCGCCAGGGCATCAATTTGGGCGCCGAGGTGCTCGGCGAGGAAGGCCACGTCGGATCCGAACGTCTTCGTCGGATGCGCCTGGCAGAGCTCAGCGTGCAGCTGGCCACGCAGCGACGTGTCACGGGCTCGCTGCTGCGCGCGGTGGCCAGGAGCTGGGTGTACATCCCCTTTGTTTCGCAGGCCGCTCCTCTGCCTCGTATGGCACGTCTTTAGGTGCCTTCCGGGCCCCAGTCGGGGCGCGGAGGTTTTCGAGTTGCCCGCGGGCGTCCGCCGGGAACTGGTGCTGTTGGCGGCGCTCTGCGCGGCGATGACATCGAACATCAGGGCGCATCCCGGCGGCGTGCTTGTGGCGACTGATGCGTCGGAGAGCGCCCTTGGCGGCGTCGCTGCCCCCATCAGCCGCAGGCTTCGCCGCGAACTCTGGCGGCTGCGGGGCCGCCGCGGGTGGCCGACGCACCTGGTTGGGCAGCATGGCGAGTGGTTATTCGCCCGAGGGCCTGGTCGAGATCGCGCCGACTTCGCGGAGGCCCTGCGCGCCGAGCAGCAGCGCGTGCAGGCTGCAGATCCGCAGCGTGTTCTGGTCGAGTGCTTCGACGTCATGGAGCTCTGCGCCAGCTAGCGCAGCCCTCTCTTGGCAGCCTCCTCCCAGCGCGGGCACCTTGTCGACGTCAAGAGGTCCGCTGTTTGGGACGTAAGATCGGATCGGCTGCTGGAGTCTGGAGTGGATCATGTGGCTCGTCGCCGAGGGGCGCGCGCTCTACATCCATTGCGGCCCACCGCGCGCGACATTCAGCGCGGCTCGGCGCCCCAGGCTCTGGTCGCGCACGCCCCCTCTTTCGATCCCAGCGACACCACCGCCGATCTCGAGAATGAGTTGTTCCTGATATCCCTGGCCGTGCTCTTGACCGTGCGCCGGCCTCCTTGGGCCGTCGGCGCCTGGCGGCACCCGCGGGGATCATTATCGTGGCGCATGCCGCAGGTGAAGGCAGTCATGAAGCACCCAGGAGTGGGAGCCTCGTCGTTTTCCCCGTGCGCTTACGGGGGCTCGCACCGCCAGGATGTCCGCATGGGCCTCGTCAAGGCTCCATTCTTGGCGCCGCTAGCCAGGCCTTGCCCGGGCTTCCACGAGCATGTCCAGCTCGGCGCGCCCGAGTCTTTCCAGGCAGCGTTGCCCCCATCTTTCTACGGCCAATGGGCCGCCCTCGTCGCTGGCTTCGTGGATTAGGCCCGCGAGGAGATGCAGCTGGCGCAATGCGGCAGCACCATCGCAGGCGCCGACGGCGCGCCAGACCCCAGCGGCGCCTCCGAATCACTGCTGACCAACGAGATTGCCACAGGAGCTACGCGGAGTCTCGAAGGGCGCACGCTGGACGAGGACGGGCAGCACATCAACGTGCGAGAGTTGCGAAGTTACTCTCAATGCTTGGGGCTGCAAGCCGCAGCCCGCCCCGGCTCCAGGCAAGTGCATTTGCTGGACCCCTTAGTCGCCCTTGGCGAGCTGGCCAAGGCCAAGCAAATCCATCAACGATCAGCTCCGATCGGCCGTGCCAGCCGTCGTGGGGCGCGATCATTATCCAGGAGGGCATTGTGTCCCAACGCGCTTGAACGCCGCCGGCGACCCGACGCGGAATCGCCAGGTGCGACAGGCGGGCGTTTGCGGCAGTTGGCTGGCCCTGGAGGGCGAAGCTGATTTCGCCTCCTTCGACGTCGTCGCTGCGATGCCCCTGCAGCGCAGGGCAGTTGCAGATTGGGCTCGCCTTATCCTGCTCGCGAGCTGCAGGCAGCCTCAGAGGCCGCGGCCTTGGGCAGGGCACGTCTTCGACAGCGCGCTCGGCTACCCAGGCGAGGGCCCGCGCGCGCAGTCGCCGCCACTCCGCAGCCGCCCCGCGATGGACCCGGCGCGCACCCGCGCGCCGTGAGCCCGGACAGCCGGGCGCCGAGCCTCGCTGGCGCACCAGCTCGGGAGGTCCGACGGCGCGCCGGGGTAGTGAAATTGCTTGGTTCACCGCCGGGCGACATCATCCGCAGAACGAGGTCCATGTTCCAGGGCGACCCTCGGGCACCCCACAATTTCAACTTGATGCTGGACACGGAGGTCATAGTGCCTTTCGTTCGGCAGGCTGAAGCGCAGGGTTACGGTTGGGGCGTAGAGATTCCCCACGACGGCCTCGCAGTCTTGGAAGCGAGCGTGGCGCAACGCCCCGTCAAGAAGGCAAGAACCCAAACATAACGTTTCTCTTTGATTTTCTTCGCAAATAACTTCTGGCTGCTGGCAGGGACGCGCAGGCAATTACAGGCGATGTTCTCGAAATTGTGTGCACTATTGGACCGAGCCGGTCTAAGCATTGTTTTGGCGGCGTGTTCGTGGTCTTCCACCAGTCGCACGCCCCCCGCGATGGGCATTGCTGTCTCGAACACCTGGCCAGACATACTTTCGACTTCGGCGACGTCACCAACAGTGACAGTGCCCTTCAAGACACGGGATACGGCGATGAAGATGTTGGGCAGTATGATAGCTTGTTCTGGTGACTGCACGGCGGAGATCGATTACCGCATCGCCCGGGCATGGGCCGCATTCCGCAAACATTCGAAGTTGCTTCTGTGCAGGTCCGCTCTGGTCATGGAGCATCTTGACAAGCTGCGTGCGTTTGTATTACCCGCGTTGTTATACAACATCAGTACGTGCCATCTGACGAAGAGGCATTTGCAGCGCCTACGCGGAGTGGAGCAGAAGATGATGCGTCGAGTGTTTGGCTACGGCCTGTCTTGCTTCATCGACCCGCAGGCGGACGTCGAGGACCACATGGCCATATCACCCCTGGAGCTTGAGAGGTACCGACAGAAAGGCCCCTGGCACAGATGGGACGAGGAAGCCTTATTGCGAGCATACCGCTGGGCCGGACATGTCGCACGGATTACAGCACGAGCCCCAGCACGGTTGGTGGGTAAAGCATTGCAATATCGAGGGGCAGTTTATCTCCAGCGCGTAACGCAGCTGCATGGGCACCAGGGTCATTATCGTCGATTCCACGCGTGGAGATGGGAGCAGTTATTCTCGCGACCTTGGGGGGCCAATTGGCAGCAGCACGCAAGGCAGGGGGAAGTATGGGAAGACATGGCAGCACAATGGCTACAATCCACATCTGGTATTCATACAAACACAGAAGCCGATTGAAATTCTATTGGTTGCGAGCACATCTGAGTAATTCTGCCCAGCTAAAGCGTTGACGCCTGCGTAAGCTGAGGCATCATCATCATCAGCAGCTTGGGTGTTGGCTGCATTCCGAGCTGACTATGTCCATGTCTCAGTTGGTTTCTCTGGCCGGCCGCGAGGTCGCCCAAGTGCTCGCAAGGTACGGGCAGCACTTGTACGACGTGGGGCGCCCCGTCGGCGACTTCACCGAGACAGCGAACGCCGTGGTAGACTTGGACCGGTCATTCCGGCGACAATTGCAAGCAGCGTGGGATGTAGCAGATGCTTGGCAAGCTCCCATGCCCGTCAGGAACCATACCCCGACGCCGCCAGTGCTGTTATTGGCCCTTATTTCGCTATCGATGCTTTGGGGATGGGTGGACATGGGAGCTCTATTATTTTGTCGCCGTGCTTCGGCGGCCAGGAGAGCTCCTCTCCCTGACTCCTGGAGACGCGTCACTTCCAAGCGCCCTGCTTTCAGACAGGCCACGGGCATACGTCAGGATCAACTTGCCGAAGACACGACGCTTGGCGGCTCGCCGCCAGCATGTGCGCCTTGACGAGCCCGCACTGATCCAGCTGCTCGAGGCATGGTTGCCGCGCGTTCCGAGGCAGCGGCGTCTGTGGGCTGGCAGCGCCTACCACTTTCGTCAAACTCACAACGCCCTTTTGTCTCATTTGGGCGTGCTTGCTGGCACTGGGGGGATCACTCCAGCTAACCATAGGGCTGGCGGCGTCGACGGACAGCTTCGTCCAGACACAATGGCGCGGACGATGGACATCAGCCCGAACTCTAGAGATCTACATCCAGGAAGTTGCCGCCGTGAACCTCCTGCCAGATCTCCCGGATACGGCCCGCGAGCGCATCCGGGCACTACCTGCAGCATGCCCGGAACTGCTCGATCCGAACGTGCGGGAACTCAGCTGCGCGAGCTGGCGCTGACCAGTGGCGTCGTTTTGCCGCCACCGCAGGGTAGTCGGAAGGCCAACGAGCCTGCCTCCGACACCCACTGGCCACCCTAGTGCCGCCTAAGTGGGTTGGCATGGTGTGGCCGCCGCCCGCCCAAGAGGGGCAGGCGGCGACCTCTACCGCTGACCTTGTGCAGGGCACGCTGTGTGGCGCAAAAGGCCAGGCCGACCCCGGTGTAAAGCAGTGCGCAGGAGGGGAGCGGGACACGCAGCAGCGAAAGCACAGCGCTGATTAAGTGAACCGTCGTTCTTGGTCTAGCTGATCTGGCATTGCTCATCTAAACGATGTGTCAATGACATTGTTTTTTGAGGTGATCTAGCAATGCTTCGCCCATTGTAATGAATGGTTGTGTCAAAGGAATACGGCATGTTTGACCTAACTATAGCACGGTTGATTTGGGTATTGTTCAACCACACAGTTTCGCAATATTGAAAAATGCCGCATGTTTCAGCTAAATTGCCATATCGTAAGTTCGCATCATCTAGTGAGCAAGGCAAACTTCCTCAGGTACAGCATGCGAGGCCATCTCATGTTTTGCAGTGCAGACATCGTTCGTACATGTTTAAAGCGCATAGCGTGTTTAGCGAAGGGTCGCTAAAGGAACGCGGAAGGCATGTATTTGACCTAGCGTGTTGTGGCGGAAAGTCGCAGTAGTTTGGCGGAAGGATGCGCAAACAACGAGAGATGAAAAGGACAGTTGCTCTAGAGTTGTGTATATTTTGTTAGGGTGGCTGTTTGGGTTTTCTTGGGGCCATCTTGGAGGCCATCGATCAAAGATCGGAGGGGGAACATCTTTTGCCCCCCACCCCCCCGCTGGATCACGGAAAATAATTTCCTGAGGTGTTGTTGGGCGCTCTCAGGGCTGTTTCGGCGTCCTCCTGGGCCCCTCTTGGGGTTCTCTTCGGCGATTTAGGGGCCAGCTTATCGCCTCCATGGCTGATCGGAAGTGAATAGGCGGGAATGCACAAATCATTGATTCCCCACTGGTTTGGGGATGATGTTGGCCTCTCGGGGCGGTCCTTGGGAGGCTCCGTGGCTACTTGGAATCGTATTGGGGCGATCTTGGGGCCTATAGGATGTGGGAAGTTGTTTAAAAATGAATTTGGTCATCCCAACGGGGAAAACGGAGACTTCTCAAGCCCGCCCAGATAGTTGGCACGGCTTGGACCCCTTGCAGAATTCGTTTTCTCAAAAATTAACAAGACTTGATATGCTCAAGACGTCAAGTTTACGGGTAGTTCGCAAAGCAGTTTTTGTTTTGGTTGACCTAGGTGTCCGGCGCCGTTGGCGACGTGTCGAGCGAGGCGCTGTCGACGCAGTGGAAGCACGAGGCTGGCACTATCCAGGGTAGCGCGGCTAGCGCCACGCTGAGCGCGACGCCTCATCCGCGGGGGCCGGAAGAGGGGCACTGGCTTGAACCTTTCCTACAACAGCAAAGAGCGGCATAGACACATGTTCGTGGGCGTCGGGATTATTGGATTCCTTGGGTTTCGGACTTGCGGACCATGTTGGTTTTGGTCGGGCCTTCGGAGGCCGCCGCGAACCTCCTGAGACCTCTGGTGGATCGAGCCCGTCGTTGTAGTTTCTGACGTCGCCGTCGTCGTCGTCGTCGTCGCCAAGAGGTTCGCGTGGATTTTCTCCCCACATCCTAAGTGGGGTTCTTGTTTTCTCTGCACACCCTCCGCGCAGGATCTCTCCTCCTCCTCCCTCTCCTCTCCTCCTCCTTGCTCCCTCCTCCTCATCACCATCACCATCACCATCACTCCCCACTCATCATCATCATCATCATCATCATCATCATCATCACCACCACCATAATCATCATCATCATCATCATCATCATCATCATCATCATCATCATCATCATCATCATCATCATCATCATCATCATCATAATCATCATCAGCAGCATCACCATAATCATCATCATCATCGCACTCATCACCACTCATCATCATCATCACTCACCCACCCCCACCCACCCACCCACCCACTCACTCACTCACTCACTCACTCACTCACTCATCACCGTCACTCGCTTATGTGACCCGAGGAAGTCTCAGGCGGGAGCCCCCTCCCTATGGGTCCCGCACTTCATGTTGGTAATCCGAGCGGGTCATCGGCAACTTGTAACTGTCGTCACTTTTGGGTTCCTCAGGCTTGAATTTGGAGAAAGTATCAAGCGGGAGCCTCGTCTGTGAGTGAATTGTGAGGAAGTCTCAGGCGGGAGCCCCCTCCCTATGGGTCCCGCATTTCGTGTTGGTAATCCGAGCGGGTCATCGGAAACATGTAACTGTCGTCACCTTTGGTGTTCTCAGGCTTGAATTTGGAGGAAGTATCAAGCGGGAGCCTTGTCTGTGAGTGAATTGTGAGGACGTCTCAGGCGGGAGCTCCCTTCCTATGGGTCCCGCATTTCATGTTGGTAATCCGGGCGGGTCATCGGCAACCTGTAACTGTCGCCACTTTTGGGGTTCTCAGGCCTGAATTTGAAGGAAGTTTTCCGCGGGAGCCTCGTCTGTGAGTGAATTGTGAGGAAGTCTCAGGCGGGAGCCCCCTCCCTATGGGTCCCGCACTTCATGTTGGTAATCCGGGCGGGTCATCGGCAACTTGTAACTGTCTTCACTTTTGGGCTCCTGTGGCTTGAATTTGGAGGAAGTATCAAGTGGGAGCCTCGTCTGTGAGTGAATTGGGGCGCAGCCGCAGGCTTCGAGCGGGGCACAGCCGCGCTCAGGCGGGAGGCAGCATGAACTCAAGCTCTGCGGCGAGCTGTTCGGCCTCATCCCTGGATGTCTCCGCTCTTTTGTCGAACTCGCTTGCCCCGACCAGGGGGAAGGGGAGGAGCGCGCGGAGAAGAAGCAGGGGAAGGACGAGGACGGGGAAGGGGTAGGGAGGGGGTGATGAGGAGGAAGTGGAGAAGGAGGAGGAGGAGGAGGAGGAGGAGGAGAAATAGAAGGAGGGTGAGTAGGTGAGGGCAGAACGGCGGGCGAGAGGAGAGTGCCCGTCAGGGCGAGGAGGAAAACGGTAAGGGCAAGTTAAACAGATTATCATGCGGGGTCCTTCCGTCGGAGTAATTGGGTCGGATCTGGGGCCCATCTCCCCGCCCCCCGTCGGGGGAAGCGTCGGGAGGCCGATGGTCTCACGGGGGGGTGCATCGACCCTCAGTCGACAGTTTATCGCGCCGACGTGGGCCTGAAAGCCCACCCCGCCCAGAAGCATGCGGATTCGCTCTCGGGAGCTCATCGCCGATCTAACGGCGATGTATCGCTGATTCCAGGTCGCTGTGCCCCCCTCTGAGCCGTTCCACCCTTTTCCATGGCATCGCTCGGACGTGTGCATTTTGTCTCGGCGGGGGCCATCGAAGAGCATGCAAGGCCAGCTTGCGAACAAATGCGCGCACGAAACCGAAATTATGCACGGGGAATAGACGTCCCAGCGATGGCCAGTTCCTGTTGCCCCTCACACTTGTGCGGCGCGGCGCGCTCCGTGCGCCAGGGGGGGGGAGGGGGGCCAGGGACGACCCCAAGAAATCCAAGGGCTCCCTCGAGGGCGCGAAGTTATTCGCGCTTCGCGGTCCTCGTTCCTTCTCCCCCTCCTCCTCGTCCTCATTTTCTCCCTTTGGGGTGGCGGCGCGAGAGCGCGAAGTTATTCGCGCTTCGCGCTTCGCGGAGCGCGAAGCGCGAAGTTGGGAGCCCTTGGAAATCCGCGCGGACCTCCGAAAGCTTATGTTTACGCAGCTGTTATTTCTTCTACCTCCCTGGCGCAGGTTCGCGTCGTGTCGACCGGCGGCGACCCCGCCGCCCGGCGTTCGAAGTTGAACGCCGCCGGCGACCCAGATTCCGTCGATGGTCAAACGGTCTGACGTCTCGGAAACGGCCGATTGTTCAACGTTGAACTATCCCCGCGGTGTCAGAAACCGCCGCCGAAGTCGGCACGACACGAACCTGCTGTACGCCCCCAGACTCCCCAGAGATACGGGCGTCGCAACTTTTCCACACCTGGGCGTTTCGGCCAGTCTTGAGCAACATGCAGCTTCAGAAGCGCCGCCAGAAATACCGCAGGAAGGTTGATTCGAGAGCTTCGGTCGTGTTGTCTTCGATGCTGCAATTGTTTCGCGGCGCCGGATCTCCGGGTCTAGCGGATGGTGTGTTCCTATCTTGGTGTTTTGTGCTTGTATTTCGGGGCACGTGCGCTGTTTTCAGTGCTCGGGGCCAGCAGAGCTGGATCCCGGCCGAAGAGCCACCCCTGGGTCAATGTGGAACTTAGCATCGCTCGGACGTGTGCATTTTTTCTCGGCGAGGACCGTCGAGGATCATCTTGGACCATCTGGCAGAACAAAAACACACGAAGCCAGAAAATGCACGGGGAATGGACGCTCGAGCGATGGCGAGTGGAAGGGGCCCATGCCTCCGGGGAACCCGCAGGCCTCGGCAAGAGCAGCCCACCTGCTGCCTGGGCCCCCGCGCTTCCGAGAGCTCTTCGCGTCCTCCTGACTCTCGCACCCGCCCCGTCGTCCCGCCCCTTCTCCCCCACATCTCGGCGGCGAGCGAGGGGGGAATGAGAAGGAGAAGGCCCTCTCAGAAGGCGGCGGGACTTCTCAGAAGCCCTCGCGCCTTCTGAGGAGTTCTCCGTGCCTTCGGGGAAGGCTCAGGGGACTTCCAAGCCTCCTAAGAAGGCCTTATCCCTCTCACTTCCCCCCCCTCACTCGCCGCAAAACATCCCCCCGTGCGTCCTCACCGCACCCCCTCCTCCTCCCCACGTCCTCTGGTCGTCGTTGTTTGCACGGCGCCCAGGCACACCTCTGTCGCCGCCTGGACCGCCCTCCCCACGCACCTCTGTTGCCAGTCTTCACCCGCGGCGCAGGGGGGGGCATGCCCTTTCTCCAGGCCCCCCCGCCGTCAGGGCCCTGCGCTCCTGGAGCGTAGCCCCACCGACGAGAACATCTGCAGCCCATCGACTCGCCCACCCGCCATGGTCTGGGGAACTGTAAGGCAGCTGCGCGGGATAGACTCCACCGAGCTGGGCCAGCATTTCAGGTCCAGAGAGCACGACGACGAGAGGCAGTCGATGCTGGAGGTGCTGCTGTCGCTCAGCCCGCTGCTGCAGGCGAAGGGAGGAGCGCAGCGCTGGGCGACCCGCTGGGCGCGTCGCTGGGACCGCTGTGTTCATGATGTGAGGGAACCAGTGCGAACTGGATGTTTGGCTGCTTATGTCCGGAGCAGGAACTTTGAGCTGCTATTCTCCTTCGTCATCATCCTCAACGCGATCTACATGGCCTCCGCGACGAACTATCAGGTGCAGCATCCGCTCGAGGGGACGACCGCTGCCATGCGTGCGGCCGACTGCCTATTTTTGTCGCTGTATGCGTTGGAGCTTGTTCTTAAGCTGATGGTCCACAGGTGTTATTTTTTCTGGAACAGGGAGATGCGTTGGAATTTGCTGGACTTCTGTCTGGTCGCATACGGTATCTTCGACCTCATCATCGATGTGTCGTCTTCTGGGTCTCCGTCAGCTCAGTCACCTGCGTGGCTGCGGGCACTGCGCCTGTTCAAGATGGCTAAGGCTCGGGACCCCCAAGCATGCAAATTCGTGATTCCTCCACGTGTCTTGTGCTGTAATTCCCATCTGAGGCGTCCTGGCATATACGCGTACCATTGCCTCCGCAGTGGGGTGGGGGGTCGTCGGCAGTCTGCGAGGCCCGAAAGCAAGAGTAAAGAAGCCCGCCGCCAGCTCCGTTTTTTTTAAGCGCATTGCACAGCGATCCCGCCGCAGGAATAGATTTGCTGTCAAAGCCATGTGGGTGGTTCGCGGGTAGGTTGTGTGTGGGGCGCGGGCGGGTCGCGGGTGGGCCGCGGGCGAGGACGACGAACAACGAACAACGAACCACCACCACCATCACCACCACCACCACAGCAAGACCAACACTTACTACGATTATCATTCCCTACCTAGGCTCTGCCTAGAAGGGTTCTTACTCTCTGGGCTTAAAGGGGCCGGGCAGTGGAACGCGCCCCGGGCGGTTCCCCCAGTATCCGCCCCGCGGTTCCCCCAGTTACGTCCCCTTAGCTTAGCGTTGCTTATCTCAGCTTAGCTTAGCTTAGTTAGCTTAGCTTAGCATAGCGCAGCGCTGCATTAGCATAGCATAGCATAGCCAATCATAGCATAGCATAGCATATCATGGCATTTCATAGCATAGCATTGTATAGCATAGCATAGCGCAGCTTAGCATAGCATAGCATAGCATCTCTTAGCATAGCACAGCGCAGCATGACATAGCATAGCTTAGCTTAGCATAGCATAGCGCAGCATACCATATCATATCATAGTATAGCATAGCATAGCGCAGCATAGCATGGCAAAGCATAGCATAGCATAGCATAACAACTAATGCTGCTTTCCTAGGGGCTCCAACTTCTAGGTAGGGTCGCACTGGGGTAATTTTAATAGTGTTCGCTATTCAACACTTGTATCCCAAACCCTCGGTACCTGCCCTCTTTGTCTTTGGTCGTACCCCCGTAGGGGGGGTGGGGGGGGGCATGTCTTCCTTACCTGCCACGTGCATTTAGCGCAGCACCTAAAACAGTGGAAGAGACGACGGATGGAAAGGGGAAGGGAGAAGGATGGAGCACGAGATAATTTTGCAGGAGGGAGTGGGGGGCGGGGCCAGGAGAAGAACACGTGTTGCAGAACCAGACGGGCAGATCGGGCGGGCAGACCCTAGCGGGCAGGTCGGGAAGGCGGGCCCAGGCGGTCAGGTCGAGCAGGCGGGTTGCTAAAGCGTGCGTCCTGCATGAATCGCCAGAAAGTTTCGAACGATAGCGCGGTTCCCCGTAGAGCTCGTGGTTTGACCAGGGCTCGAAAATTCGGGCGCAGACTGGAGCTAGTTGGCCGACCCGACAAGAAGAGACAATGTGGTAATTTGGGCATTCAGTTTCAAACTTGCTTTTTCTTCCCCTGGGTAGTGAATCGCGTGGCGTTCGCCTGTCTTAGTTCCAGGTCCATAGCTGCAGTGTCACGATTAAAACACTTGGAAGAGCCGGTGTCGTGTGGACACACAATTTGGCGCACGGTAAATTGCCAGAAAAAGGCCTAAGCGAGAGAGTGATTTCTGAGTGGCGAGGGCGCGGCGCTTCAATGAATTACAAGAAAGTCCCACGCGAGAGCGCGATTCTGGAACACATTGTGAGGAAGTTCCGCGCGAGAGCGCGTTTGGGAATGAATTGTGAGGAAATATCAGGCGGGAACCGTTGTTGTCGTAGTTCGGGGCCCAACAAGTTTTTTTTGGTGGTATCGAGTTTTTTTTGACACAAAAAGCAGTGCAACACCTTGGAGGAGCCTGTTGGTTTAGATATTCTGTAGTCACCAGAGGGGAAGATCGCCAACAAATATTTCTCACCTCAAGAGACAGCGCCCCGCGTTCACTCCTTCCTTCCTTCCTCCCGCTGCCCCCTCCCTCGTCGCCGCACCCATTTCGGCACACCCCTCACACGTTTCGTGCCCCCATAGGGAGCTCCACCGAAGGCCCCAGTGGCTGCGTTGGCATGGCGGCGCCGCACCCATTTCATGGCCCCATTGGGAGTTCCACCGAAGGCCCCAGTGGCTGCGTTGCCATGTTGGCGCCGCACCCATTTCGGCACACCCCTCACACGCTTCGTGGCCCCATAGGGAGCTCCACCGAAGGCCCCAGTGGCTGCGTTGGCATGGCGGCGCCGCACCCATTTCAGCACACCCCTCACACGCTTCGTGGCCCCATAGGGAGCCCCACCGAAGGCCCCAGTGGCTGCGTTGGCATGGCGGCGCCGCACCCATTTCGGCACACCCCTCACACGTTTCGTGGCCCCATAGGGAGCTCCACCGAAGGCCCCAGTGGCTGCGTTGGCATGGCGGCGCCGCGCCAAATTTGGCACACCCCTCACACGCTTCGTGGCCCCATAGGGAGCTCCACCGACGGCTCCAGTAGCTGCGTTGGCATGGCGGCGCCGCACCCATTTCGGCACACCCCTCACACGCTTCGTGGCCCCATAGGGAGCTCCACCGAAGGCCCCAGTGGCTGCGTTGACATGGCGGCGCCGCACACATTCCGGCACACCCCTCACACGTTTCGTGGCCCCATAAGGAACCCATCGAAGGCCCCAGTGGCTGCGTTGGCATGGCGGCGCCGCACGAATTTCGGCACACCCCTTGCACGTTTCGTAGCCCCATAGGGAGCTCCACCGAAGGCCCCAGTGGCTGCGTTCGCATGGCGGCGACGCACCCATTTCGGCACACCCCTCACACGTTGCGTGGCCCCATAGGGAGCTCCACCGAAGGCCCCAGTGGCTGCGTTGGCATGGCGGCGCCGCACCCATTTCGGCACACCTTCACACGCTTCGTGGCCCCATTGGGAGTTCCACCGAAGGCCCCAGTGGCTGCGTTGCCATGGTGGCGCCGCACCCATTTCGGCACACCCCTCACACGCTTCGTGGCCCCATAGGGAGCTCCACCGAAGGCCCCAGTGGCTGCGTTGGCATGGCGGCGCCGCACCCATTTCAGCACACCCCTCACACGTTCCGTGGCCCCATAGGGAGCTCCACCGAAGGCCCCAGTGGCTGCGTTGGCATGGCGGCGCCGCACCCATTTCGGCACACCCCTCACACGCTTCGCGGCCCCATATGGAGCTCCACCGAATGCCCCAGTGGCTGCGTTCGCATGGCGGCGCCGCACCCATTTCGGCACACCCCTCACACGTTTCGCGGCCCCATAGGGAGCTCCACCGAAGGCCCCATTTCGGCACACCCCTCACACGTTTCGTGGCCCCATAGGGAGCCCCACCGAAGGCCCCAGTGGCTGCGTTCGCATGGCGGCGCCGCACCCATTTCGGCACACCCCTCACACGCTTCGTGGCCCCATAGGGAGCTCCACCGAAACTCCCAGTGGCTGCGTTGGCATGGCGGCGCCGCACCGAAGAAGATGTTCACTATTGCGGTACTCACAGCTGCATATGGTTGGGTCCTTCGCCAGGCTAATGTTTTGAAGATGGTTCGCTCTTATCTGCTCGCGTGCTTTTCAACACGTATATCCCAAACCGTCGATACCCGCTTCCTTCGCCTTCAAGCGTGCCCCCTTGGGGGAGATGTCTTCTTCATCTGCCACGTGTTGGCGCAGCCCAAAAATACACGGGAAGAGAGGACGGATGGAATGAAGGGACAAAAGGGAAAGGAGAAGGATGGAACACGCGAGAGAGAGAGAGAGAGAGAGAAAGAGTTGCAGGAACGGGGGTTAGCAGCAGAAAGCACGTGTGGTTTAACCAGACGGGCAGATCGGGTGGGTAGACCCTACATGATATGGGCCTATGCGGTCAGGTCGGGCAGGCGGGCTGCTGAAGCGTGATTCCTGAATGATTCGCCAGGAAGTCTCGAGCGACAGCGCGATTCCTTTGCAAATCTTGAGAAAAGGCCAGGGCGAGAGCGTGAGTCCTGAGTGTCTGCCGAGGGCGCGGCGTTTGAATACATTGCGGGGAAGTCCCACGCGATAGCGCGATTCCTGCAGAACTTGTAAGCAAGTGCCGCGCGAAAGCGCGATTTTGGAATGAATTGTGAGGAAGCATCAGGCGGGAACCGCTGTTGCGGTAGTCCGGGGGCGACGGGCACAGTCTGAGACCCAAGAAGAAACCGGCATTGAGAAGAGGACGCGAGCCCCGGACGAGGCACTGTAAGTCAAAGAGCAGCATGGGCACCTTGGAGGGGGATCCAAATATTCATGTTGTAGAAACGACGACTCAGCAACCATATTTTTTCGAGATTCATTGGCTGACGCCGCACTGCCGACCCCTTGGGGCGGCAGTGAGAGTGAAAAACGGAGTTTGCGGAACGATGTCTGTGGAAGTCGGGGGCTTCGGCTTCTTGGGATTTCGTCGGGGGCGGTTGGCGAATCGCGGCTCTGCTTTGGGGTTCTCTGGGCTCTCCTGGCAGCACTTTTGAGGCGTCTTGGGGGCCGTTTTGAGGCCTCTAGGAGCCTCTTTCGGGCCTCTCGGCGGCCTCGTGGGAGCCTCTTGCGGGCCTATTGGCGGCCTCTGGGGCCCTCTTGGGCCGTCTTGGAGCCCTTTTGGGGGCCTCTTGGTCTATCTTGGGTCGATCTTACAAGCTTCTTGGGCCGTTGTGGGCCTCGTGAAAGCCCACAAGGCGAATGTGTTAAAAGTATCGGTATTCCCTAGGGGATGGGACGATGTTTGCTTCTGGAGGGCCTCTTGGGACGCCTCTTGGTGGTTTCTTGGTGCGTCTTAGGGGCCTCTGGGACCGTTTGGAGGCAATCTTGGGCGTCTTGGAGCGATCTTTCGGCGACTCGTAGCCCTTTTGGACCGTCTGGGGCCTCTTGGACCGTTTTGGGCCCCCCTGAGCCTCCTGGGGTGCGTCCGACACCTTCGCCCCCCACCCCCCCCTCCAAACCGGTCGGACCTGGCTCCCGGGGGAGGGGCTTGGGGAGGGGGAAGCATCTCACACGCCGTGGCCAAAAGGGGTCGGCGGATTGTTCGCTAAGCTCTGCTCGCATGTCATTTAACATGTCCCCGCGTCGATTGTTCCGAC